GTCCCTACGCTCTTCGGAAGACTTCGGAAGGCCGCGTATTCCTCCGTATTCGGCTGTGTTCGGCGGGATCCACTGTCTTCGTGGCAGCGCACTAGGCAAATCTCTCACCCTCAGCTCCTGTATTGATCCTCTTCTATATGATCGCTGACTGTAGGTCCCCTTGGCCTTGTACGACTCTTTCGAGCTTTTCGCACTGGTCGAGCGCTTGCTGGCGACGGCCCTGGGGTGCTTCTGGACGAGCCACGACCTCTGCCGGCTCCGCAACACCTGCCGCCGCCGCCTCTGCCGGCTCCACAACGCCAGATGCCGTGCCGGACGCCTCGGCCGCAGCCGCGCCCGTCAGCGGTCCGGTGGTCGGCGCACCGGGTTCCGATCTCCCCCGCGCGCCGGGCGCCGACCTCGCGAGCGGCGACGGCGAGCTGCTGCCCGCGGCGAGGACGGAGGAGGCGAGGCCAGAGGAGCCGAGGCCAGAGGAGGCGAGACCCGGGGAGAGAGGTGAGGGCGGGCCTGAGGTGGAGCCAATCGGGGCCAGCGCGGGCCGCGCCGCGGAACCGAGCGCGCTCAGCCCGATGGGCCCGCCAGGAGGCTGCCGGCCCAGCCCTGGCGAGCTGGGCGCCGCTGCCGGACGGCCATTCCCCTCAGCAGAGCGGCGCAGCTTCTTGGCCTTCTCCTCCTCGTACGTCTTGCGGTAGTAGTCGTCGCACGGGTGGTCCCAGACGGACTCGCCGGTCGCAAAGTTGAAGTAGTATATCTCGCCGCCGTCCTGCGTCTTGCACGGCTTCCAGTGCTCCGGCAGCGGCGCCTTGAGCCCCTCGCTCGCGATCCAGAGCAGGTCGTCGTCCTCCGGCCGCCTCATGCCGAGCCAGGTGGCGTACTCATCGATCTCGTCTGGCGTCGGGTCGTAGTCCTCGTCGATGTCCTCCTCGAGGATGATGGAGTCGTGGGCGGCCATCGCCACACACACCGGCCCCCTCCCTCACCGGCCCGACAAGAAAAAGAATTCGCGCGCTAACCGGTGTGTATCCTATGCGAGAGAGATCCCCTGTGCCCTGTGCCCAGCCCTCTCCGCGCGGCGATGCGCCCTCCCTCGCCCGGCTGCTGCCCGCCAAAATTCAGATCTACAGTGTCGAGTCAGTCTAGTGAGTCTACAAGCGGCACAAAGTTGGAAAGAAGAAGAAGAATACTTTTTTCTACAAATCTCCCTCGCACGACACCTGGCACGGGACCTGCGCGCACTGGCACTAACGCAGAATAAGAAACGTTCCGCCGCGGGGGCGTCGAGCAAGGAGCGTCAACCTGAGCGCCATACTGATGCTGGCAAGCGCACGCTGGGAGATCAGATACAGCGCAAATGTCAGCCGAATTTAAGATTTGAAGGCGGGGCGGCCGTGAGCTGTAAAATCTTGAAAATCCAGCTAAAATCTTGCGAAAATGCGCTCCAGAGCTCTAAAATCTTGGTCTAAATCTGAAAATCGCCGGCCTGCGGCCGGCCTCTAAAATCTTAAATTCGGCGGACTTGATAAGGCTCCGGCTCAGGTCGTGGGGCATAGCTCGGGTGTAAACGGGGTCTGGGGAGGAAGCCCCAGCGGCCCGCCGCAGGCGCCGCCGGAGGCTGGCCCGCCGCAGGCGCCGATTTTTTGGCGTTTTTTCTCAAAATTGAGGGATTTCTCATCTAAATTCTCATCCAAAATCGAGCTCGCTACGAGCTCTCTAACTGCACAGCATCTCCTCGTTGAGCCTAGCGGCGCCCGTATCGCCCACGGCCACATTCCTTTTTCTTGCCCTTGGCCCTTGCTGCACTCAGCCGCTCAACCTCCGCCAGTCTCTCCTTGCTCGTTGCTGGCGCTGCCGCCCCCAGTACTGCGATTGCAGCTCCTTGGCATGCCGCGCCGCCTCCATCTGCTGTGCTTCCCACGCTGCCGCTTCCTCTAAAGCAGCGCCGCCACTAAGCGGCGCAACCAAGTTCTTGCACTGTTTGCATGAGCATGTGTCCTGCTGGTGCGACGCACAATCCGCGCGCGGCGAGTGAGAGTAGAAGACTGACAGCAGGAGCTGCAGGAGCTGCAGTGACGCGTCGCACGCAGGGTTCCAGAGAGAGAGAGAGGTTCTCTCTTGGGTTCCAGCGAAGAAGAATCAAGAACAGCAAAATTAAAAAGTCATAAAATACAAACCTCTCGCAAAGCACACTGGCATAACAAAGGGCGCGGCGAAAAGAATCTTTAAAATACGAGCCTCACAGCAAGGCGAAAAGAAAGAATTCTCTCTCGTTCTCCTCGTTTTCCTCAACGCAGTCGGAGAAGGGGCAACTCCGTGCACTGACGGTCCGTCAGACACGCCTCGATAAGAAACATGATGCCGGTCCCCGCACCCCGCACCGCCCCGCTTACGCACCGACCCGCTTAGAGTTGGAGTGGAGCGTCGAGGTGTTCGCGGCCGTCACGCCTTCGCCGTCGCAGGCGCGTAGCCCCCCACAAGTTTTGCCGGGGGCGAGCCCCGCCTGCCTCCCCACGCCCTATTCGCCACGTCGGCCCCCTCACACACCGATTCTCCTCGCCGGCCACGCGCCCCGCCCCATTGTCCGTCCTCGCCGTCGCCGTCGCAGCCGGCGACCACGCCCTATCGCCCCGCCCCGATTGTCGTCTACAGGAACGGACGACGGAAAATGCCAACGCCCCAGCTCAAGCGAGGCCTCAAGACGGGCGGCGAGTGCATCGCCCTCGGCTCGCTCGCGGGCCTGCCGCCGCAGCCCATGCGCGCCGTCCTCCTC